GCAATAGTACATTCATGTAGTTGTAAACAGCATGATAATATATTAAGTAATCCAAAGTATTCAGAATACGTTACTCTCATTGAGTAACGTAACGAAATACGTTACAGAATACATTTTGGGGCATGTATTCTGTATTCTGTGGAATACATTTTAAAAGTAACCTTCCCAACACTGTTGGTAAAGGACATTAAACGTTTCTTGTTTTAATGGGATTTTCCCCCTCTCAATAAATGTTAAACATGAGGAACACGCTCTTCTTGATGACTTCTGCAGTCCTCTGTGGCAGACTGGATGTCGGCTTCTGGAAATCCTGATTGATGACCAGCCATTCCTGGCTTGTCAGTGCACCAACTTGATCACAACGATGATCATAATCACATTCATGCATGATGGAGCGCCATGTCACAAGCCAAAAGCGAGTCGAAAGTGCCTCGATAATCATCAAATTAATATTTTCGATTCAATACCAGGAAACTCTCCAGACCAAGAGTTTATGCCTTAGCGAGACCTTAAAAAAGTGGATGGACAAGCAGAAGCTCACATACTGGGGACATCGTGGAGTTTGGATCACCATCAAACAGGATTTTGAGGCTGATATCCAACACGTCGTGGAGAATTGCAGAAGTTATGAAGAAGGGTCAGCATTGTAAATACAGACTCTTTGTAAAAATGTATTTTGTTTAACAATAAAAGTCTTTGAAATTCATAAAATGCTTATGATTGTTCTTCATCATCAAAAGAAGTAAAAATGTAACAAAAAAAACCTGAACCAAAGTGTGTAAAACGCAAAATCAGTGCCATTGCCTAAACTTTTAGTTATGACAGTCCAACCTATTTATATTAAAAACACAGACATGTACCACTGCACTTATGTTAATTGAAAGTTATGGTATTGTCTTGACAGCAGGTATTTAAAGTTACTCTTCATTGCATTTAAAAAAACAACTACTGTACTTTAACACATTAATTTCAACAGATGCAGTTTCTTGCATCTTGCTCACAATACTCTGTTGTATATTAAGGAAATATGACATTACTTTATTTTGGAGCATGTATTATTTTAACATTCTCTACCAGAATGCTAATGTTAATATTACAGTTATTTTACATGACAGACCTTTGAAGTGTAACAAAATTTACACTGTTAAACACTAAAATTGAAAACATTGAAAATACAGGAATAATAGTTTTTTTTTTAAAGTATAACATGATTAAAAGAACAATTATTTCACTAAATAAATTAATTTGGGGTACATACTGTGCTATGTCTACAGTGTCACTGTCACCTCTGCATCTCTTTCTTACAACTGAGTACAGATAAAAACATGCTTGCTTTACTTTGAGAAAAAACACATATAAATAAGTGCAAACAAAAAAAAATATTGGTTGAACTTTTTCAGTACAGAAAGTCTACATTTGACTTTAAAAGTAGTCCTTTTTGTAAATACCACTGCATTTTGCAGTGGCACAATCGTTTGTTTGTCTTTTAAAACTGCAGTTACACCATTTTCATGTAGTTTAACACTTTTTTATTTTTTCTACTTCTTATTAAACTTGATTTAATAGCTTTAGGTTTAAAAAAAATCACTTTTTGTTCCAGAGGATGTAAAACATTTACACTTTTTGTATTTGAACATATTGTGTAACATCCTCACAATCGATTAGCTGCTATTCTAAATATTTTCAAACAACAATAAAATGTAAAAAAAATAAAAATATGTAAATATTATTTTTGGACTGAAAATATTTTCCCTGGTTTAAAGCTTATTTGCATCCAGTCTTCACACCTATTAAGCTGAGAGCATCATTTTTTCTTCTTTTAAAGGTTTATCCTTTAATAAACATCTAGCTCTTTTCACAGGGATGGGAGCCTTCAAGACTTCGAGCTGTTGGCCAAAAATACACCAATAACACACAACAAGAGAAGGAGGTATCATGTACAGTAACATGGACAGTACCAGCTTTACATGGATCCTTGTAGTCGATTTCGTCCCCGAGGTCAGTAAAAGTTGCGTCCACAGTCTCCCAATCAGCCGCCAGAGGAACGCAAAGACAAACAAACAAAAATCTAGGAACGACTTCCATTGCCTTTGATCAAATATGCAGAGGAGGTAAAGTTTGTAATTGTGCTGCAGTAAGAGAAAAAGGCGCTGAAAAGACTCTCCTGCCCGGCGGCGCTGTTTCCTCACGTCTCCATGCTGCTGCAGTGATTTCGCTGGCATCCAGCACCGAGCGCACAGCAACGCACACACCCATGCCTCTGAAGCCAGAGAGGTGCTTCACCTGCTGTCAGGTGACTTAGGGGGCTTTACATCGGACGTAAGCGCGGGTAAAAATCCGTGTCATTTCTTTCTGTGTTATTAAACATGTTAGAAACATTTAAAATTAAAGGGGGGGAAACACCTATAGCAGGAACACAAAGCTGACATGTAGCCCATCCTGTATTTGTGCACTACAACTGTTTCTCGACAACCTACATCGGTTAAATAAGAGAGACTGGGTCGTGTTTGTGTAACAGAATCCCGATACTGTTTATGCCTCAGAGACTATCACAAGGTGCTGATTCCTGACCCGCTACACCACCTGCAGGCAACAAGGTCCACTCACACGTTAGCTCTGAAATGCGGGAATACTGACTCAGCAGTTAAGAGAGGAGCTGACTCATAACTGAAGCTAAGGGAAATTTAAAAAAAAAAAAAGAAAAGAAAAAAAAAAAAAAAAAAAAAAAAAAAAACGTTAATTAAATTTTTTTGCCAAAAGACTTACTATCCGTCTTATCTAATTTCCAAAAACAAACAAAAGAACTGTTTATTTATTTATATTTACAGTAAGATTTCCCATCAAAAGAAATTATGAAAGTAATGTGTGATGAGGTTTCGAAACTTTCTGAAAGGCTCACTGTAGTAATACTGATAGAAGGGGACTTCTATCGTGAGTGATTTAACATAATAATAATAATAATAATAATAATAATAATAATAATAATAATAATAATAATAATAATAATAATCTGGCACATTAATCCTGTAAGACACTTAGGAGCAGCTGGATGCCTTTTCCAGCTGCTCCTAAGTGTCTTACAGGATTAATGTGCCAGAAGACTGAGGGATGAGACTGGAAATCAGACCAAGGGCACCTGGTGGAAAGGTGGGAGATGAAATACACTCAAGAAAGCATGTGAAATGATATATACCAGAGCTTACTAAATATAATAAAATCCAGCAATCATGTTTTTGAAATTCCTACATAACAGAAATATAAAATTAGTTTTTTATTGTTAATGACTGCTAATTTGTTGAGTGTGGAGCATTTAATTGATTTGGCTTCTGAAGTGGAACATACAGTATCAGACAGCATGTAACTCATCCTGTGTTTTTCTTTAACCATTAGTTTACTGATTGTTAATCAGCTACAAGAGTTCATTTCAGTTCAGTTCCACTGAGGTTTATTTATATAGACCAAATCAAAGCAACACTATACAAGCGGCACTTAGTGAGCAAGCAGTTTGTGACAGTGGGAAGGAAAAACTCCCTTTTACCAGGAAGAAGCCTCGAGCAATGAAATGAGTAATGAAAAGAGGTGAGTGGACGAGTGCTCAGTGTATCACAGTGTGCTGCAGGGCTCTCTGCAGCAGTCTCAGCCTATAGCAGCATAACCAAGAAATGGTTCAGCCTCAAAGAGAAAATCCTTCATGTGGACACTTTATATTAACCCTGTATAGTATTTATCTTGTGAATCATCTGGCATTCAGTTCCACTAAAATATTAAAAGCAGTGTGGAAAAAAAGTGTTTAATGTTTATTTGCAGTGACAGCTTTGCACAGTGCATATGTTTACCACTGAGTGGCACTGATGGGTAAGTTGTAGATTCAAGTGAACTACCAAAAGAAGTCAAGGAAAAAAAGAAGGAAAAAAAAACAAAACCAGGAAAAGTATGAGTGAAAACAAATACCTGGACAAAGCTGTGGAGTCATTCAGAGAAACACTTTGAGAAGAGAGGAGGGGTAAATCAGCCACCCATGCGTGAGAGTTTTGTTTTGTTGTGCAAACTCTTAGCAAAGTTTTCTACAAGTGTGATGTGAGTGGGAGTCAAAGACTCAGTCCCACAAGCCTCACTCCTCCTCTGCCACCACACATCTGCTCCTGAGGAGATGGGACCCTGATCAGGAGGAGAGCTCTCTTCATCCTTCAGTCTGCATGGCTGAAACCTCCAGAGCACTGTAAGAAGAGGAGCCACCAGGAAAAGAAAAATCCTTCATCCTGAGACAATATTTATGTTTACCATTTACCAGGCTGATTGCTCTCCTAAATTTGGAGTGATGTCCCAGTGCTGGTGCAGGCGGGTCGTGTTTTGTGTGGAACTGGGTGTACTGGTGGCAGTCCTGGCGGCTGGCAGCACAGCTCAGCTATTTGAGAGGAGGCAAGCCGGGTCATCGTGCTATGGAGGATTTGACCTCTACTTTGTTTTGGACAAGTGAGTGCTTTTATTTTTACTTGATCACAGAAGAGATCTGTGTGACTCGGCGGTGCGTTTTGAAGGCACAGGTGCACGCATCATTCAAGCTGTCATCCAGAGGCAACGATGGGCTGCTAGTTGCCTGACAAAAATATGCGAATGTGATGTAACTAGCATGTTTTAGCCTACTGAAATATTAAGGCCTTTATAAAGCTGAAGGTAGGGTCTGGATTCCAGATAGAAACTGAATCGAATGTGACCGTAAGTGACATGCATATAATGCATTTTTAATTTTGAAATGTCACCAGCTTGAGACTTTCTGATCACACCAGTAGAAGCCTGATTTAAAAAGAACAGACTCAGTCATCAGATTTGCTAATTTCCTAAAGATGTACCTGCCACAACAGTTCAAAACTCCAAGTCATGATATTGCATTTGCATTGTGAGATACAAACTCATTGCTGCTGTGACCTGAACTTAAAACAGAATGAATTATCAACTGATTTTCTAGGTGATCAGTAGCTTTGAATCACTGTGCAAACAGCTTAGGAGGTAAAGTGGCCCCTGTTGTACCAATCTGTGTCAGTATGTTTGACATATGCATTGAAGAAAAAGCACTATATGAATATCTGTGAATGAATGAGTGTGGATTGCAAGGTAAATTGCATTCAGTGGTTAATAAGATTAGAAATGCTGTATATAAAGGCTAACATGGTGAAAAACACCAATTGGAGTTTCAGAGTCTAAAATAAAGCCTTTAAATGTGTTATTTTGTACAATGTAAAACCCCAAAATATTTCTATTCATATAAAAAATGTTGTTTTTTGTCTTAAATGGCTTAAATGATTGTGATATTATAGTACTTATCTTAGAATACTTATTGTTCTCAGCTGCTATTGCGGTATCGTCACATTTTATTCAAGGAAACAGTCGCGGGTTATAAGAGACTCAAATGCCAAGAGCTGACATAAGGGTTCAATTAAATGTCATGAGGCTAACATGACACTGTTGAACAGGTCAAGTCACATCAGTGTGCTGTTTCATAAATTCTCTCTTAAAAGAGCCGTGCATACATAAATCAAAAACATGCATATCGTTTTCTTTTTGCAAATCACCTCAAAGTTGTAAGAACTGACATGAAGTGTGTTTACACAGTGACATCTTCATGCATGCATCAGCGGATGATAAACTGCCCTGCAGGGATTCCTGTTTTCCAAAAGCGGCCGCTCTTCGCTGACAGGCGCTGCCCACATCCAGACCCAGTTTCATCTCTCTGCGCTTCGGTCTGCAGAACCCTTTCTCCATTAGAGCCAGATGTTCCAAAGATCCCGAGTGTTTGGCTGTCTCTGCACTGCGACTCACATCACAGGATAAATGAAAACATAAGGGAGGAGGCGAAGGGAGAGTGCAGAGAGAGAAAGGGGCCACAAGAAGTTGCGCATATTTGCTCCACGAGTCTCTTTAATTACAGCCTTCCACTTAGAGAAATCAGCTGGTTGTTTATGTTGGTCTGCACCTGTCGCAAAACCTGGACCCAGGAGGAAGCCATGTAAGGATCAAGTGGAACTATAACTTTGGCTTGTAGTAAAAGTGGGCAATAAAGTCACATAAAAAAGTGAGATTTTTTTATGAATAGTATACCAAGAATAGCATACCAGTCCCATCCAACCTTATTTAGCATAACAGCAATGCTGACCAAAGTGCTTTCCAGTTAAAAAAAAAAAAGAGCAATAAAAAACTAAAACAAACATATAATAAAAAGAAAATAAATAACAGCAAGACATGCAAAGTGGAAATAAATAGACAATAAAATGTATAAGAAATAAAATGAAAAAAAAAGGAATAAAAAAAAAATAAGGAGGTTAAAAAATGACTAAAACTGGCAAGACCCTAACCCTGGTACTAAACTTAAAATGTCTTGGAGAATATTTATGACTCTAGAAGCTGTTTAAAAATATCAGTTGTTCACACTGATTCCATAATTTGGTGTCCACAACAGCTAAAGCTCAGTTGAGTGGACAGGGGACAAGCGGCCAATGGACTGTCCCCACTATAGGTTAAATACCTGGACTCTTAGCCAGCTGTTTTAGAGCTGAAGAAGCCTTGTGGATGAAAAATTAAAAACATCTTCACAAGCCAAAAAGAAGTCCAGTCACCTTCTTTTAAAGCACTCAACACCAGTAATTTCCTCTTTTTTCTAAAATATCTTTACACAAAAAGATTCAGGTGATAGCTGATAATCACAATAAGAATACTCTTTAACTAAAACACCTTTAATAAGTGTCCACCGTGTTCTCCATCACTGCTGCTCGCTGTCAGTAAGAATAGACTCCACTCAGCAAAAGCTATTATATTGTATGCAGTGAAAAAACAATATTTAATTACATCACATTACAGGGTTATAAAGAGATCTAGACTTTAAAGGCAGTTTCCACAATTTCACAGATATTCAGTGTTTCCGTCTTTCAGCTTTTAATGTCACGATTTTCTTGTCTGTTTTGATGACTCCCTTTTTATTCTTCCTAATTCTGGAAGCGAAGAAGCTAAACAACAGTAAAACAGCATTAAGTTGTTCACTATTAGAGTATTTCTAAGTTCTTTCTTAGTCAATTGTGTTGCGTGTCTTTTTCAGTCAATTGTGAATTGACTTTTTTGTGCCAAAGCTCCTGTGTGTCACTGAAACCGCTGAATCTTTGTTTCAGGTCTGGCAGTGTGCAGCATTACTGGAATGAGATCTATTACTTTGTCGATCATCTGGCTCACAAGTTTATCAGGTACAGTTACGCACAAGCCGTGGCACTAAAAGAGTAAAGGGGGGGAAGA